AATTGCAAAAACAAGAAGCAATTGCTGTATTTGTTAATGGTTCTCTCTTTGTAATGAGTCTGCCCGAGAAAGACACCAAGGCCATAACAAACCAGTTATCCAATTGATTGCAGCTAATAGTGACCCCAGAGGCGGGTCAGATAGAGCAATGTTTCAAGTGTTTGATTTTTTGGAAGAGAGTCACTAGGCCTTTTCATCTTCTGTTGTTTTCACGACTCATAGCAACTATATGAAGAGCAGACTGGAACCCTGTTCTATCCCGTGCCATGCTCACAATCCCTGACACATTTTTGCCTGCCCATTACTGCAGTCACAGTGTCAATTCACTTGGTAGAGAGTCTTCCTCTCTTTTACTGACCCTCCACCTTATAAAGAATGATATCCCTCTCCAGAGAATAGTCTCTCCTAGCAAGACACCCAAAGTATGTGAGAGGAAGTTTCATCCTCTCTGCCTCTAAGGAAGATGCTGGCTGCACTTTTTCACAGTCCATGGGATGCTCAGTACTCTTCTCTAATGCCTCAGTTCTAAGGCATACATTCTCCTATCATCCTATTCATTTCCCAGCTCTCAGTATAGCAAATGAAAAATGAAAAGACCATGGCCTGAGAAATCCCTAAAACTGAAACTCAACCCATTGCTGTTGAGTCAATTAAGACCCCCGGCAATGACCTACTGGATTTTTAAAAATAAAATATTTTATTTAAATTGTGATTTTATTGAAAGTTTAAAGAAAAGTTAGATTTTTATTCATTCATTGTTGCACAATTACCTCCCCCCACCCCAGTCTTTTTTGCAATGTATCTCTTATTCTGGGCTTTTATCATATGTATAATGCTTAATTATGTATTACTTTTAAATAGTTCTTTCCTTCATCTGTTCCAGTGTAATATTCATTATCTATCCACTCTTCAGTTCTCCTCCCAGCCCACCCCCCCATGTCAAACTTGCTTTATAACAGTAATGCTATGAAGTATTTGTCCTTTTGTGACTGAGATATTTCACTCAGCCTAATGTCTTCCAGGGTCACCCAAATGATATGTTTTATGAGTTCATTGGATTTTTTTTAGCTATAAATCTTTATGAGAGAAGACTACTACATTTCTTTTTTTGTTTGTTTTTAAATTTTTTCTTTTTAATTTTTTTATTATTATCAATTTCAATCAAAAATTACAGAGACTTTGGATTCCCATTCATTCATTGTTGC